TCGGTTGCCTCATAAATATCTCTTCCTCTAATTCACTATTGAGGAACGTTATCTTTACATCCATTTGATGTATGTCAAAGTTATAATTGTTTGCTATTGCTAGTACAATCCTAATGGACGACTTTCTAGCAACAGGGAAGAAAGTTTCTTTATAATCAACCCCTTCTACTTGGGGTAAAACCCTTATTAACAATTCTAGCATTATACCTATCAATTGTTCCATCTGGATTCAGTTTTTTAGTATAGTTCCATTTACAACTAATAGCTCTACGGCCTTCTGGTAGGTCTACTAAGGTCCATGTCTCACTCTTCATTAATGAGTTACATTCATCTTGCATTGCCTCCATCCAATTGGATATCTCAGATGAACTTATAGCCTCTTTAAAGCTTATGGATTCATCATCAAGTTTTATATTATACCCATAATAGTCATCCAAGTAACTAGGTCTTTTAGTTTCCCTAGTACTTTTCCTAGCCTCTACCATAATAGGAATACGATTAACATTACCAGGGTTCTCACAGGAATCACTAAGTTGCCCCATTTCTTCTTCTAATTCTATAATTTTAGGTTGTTTTCCCTTTGGCATTTCTTCATCCTCAAAGAAATGAGCATCTTTCTATGATAGTCTTAGTCTCATGATCATAGAATTTATAACCCTTAGAGTGACTAGAGTACCCAACAAAAGTGCATTTAATGGTTTTAGGCCCTAGTTTTTCTCTATTTGGTTAAGGACATGAGCTACACAACACCAAACTCTAATGTGATCTAAATTAGGCTTTCTATTAGACCATAATTCAAAAGGGGTTCTATTTGTAGATTTGTTAAGAACTCTATTTAATATATAAGTTGAGGCTAACAAAGCTTCTCCCAAAAATTGATAAGATATATTAGCTTCTTGTATCATACAATTAACCATCTCTAATAAGGTTCTATTTTTCTTTCAGCCATACCATTATGTTGGGGTGTATAAGGGAGTGTGCATTGTCTAATGATCCCATGTTCCTTACAAAAAATTTCAAACTCAAGTGAAGTATATTCTCCTCTTCTATCACTTCTCAAAATTTTAATATTTTTATCTAGTTGATTTTCTACTTCCATCTTACACTCTTTAAATTTTCCTAAGGCTTCACTTTTATGAGAAATCAAATATGTATATGTATATCGTCAATAAGCATCCATGAAAGTGATAAAATATTCATGTCCTTTAAAGGTTTTAGCATTCCATTTTTCACCAATATCAGTATGAACTATATGTAGAACATTTTCAGCCTTTAATCCCTTTGGGAATGGTTTTCTATGCATCTTTCATTTTAAACAGTTCTCACATTTAAATTTATCTTTTTCTTCATAAGGAATTAATTTTTCTTTTATCATTCTAAACAATTTTTCAGCCAATGTGTCCTAATCTTCTATGCCATACCTTGAAGCTTTCTTGGAAAGAAGAATCAACAATATAAGAGGAAGATGATTTCATTTTATTAATTTCAAGTTTATACAAACGGCCATAAGGAGAAGCCCAAGCCACTTCTACACCATCCTTAAGAAAAGTCATATTCCCCCCTTTGACATTCACTTGGACCCCATTTTTATGAGGTTACGCTTCATGTCGGGGGCATAGAAGACATCATTAAGGGTAAGAGTACTCCCACTAGGAAGAGGAAGCTTCACGGTCGCCTCGCCAAAAATGTGGACCCAAGAGGAGTTTCCCATATAGAGCTTCCAATCACCAACCTTCTTCTCTCTGAAGTCCATCACGTGCTCCTTGCTCGTGGTGATATGCCTTGTTGCACCCAAATCAATCCACCAATCATCAGATGGGGTAATCGAGAGAGTCTCTTCTACTAAGAATGCAATATCCTTTGGGTGATTGGGTTCTCCTCTCTCCATCTTCTTTGGTGGGGCCCTACAAAATTTGGCAATATGACGAAGTTTGTTGCAATTAAACATCTTCTTAACCTTTTAAAGAATTTTCCCTTTTTCTTGTCTTCTTCTTTATTTCCTCATTGTTTTCTTTAGTCTCTTTTCTCTTCTTATGATTGGGTCTTGGATACCCTTTTTGAGTAGCCAAATAAGCCTGCTGATGGGCTCTTTCATTTTTCTCTTTAGCCCTATCATTCTCTTTCATCCTAAGATGTCCTCTTAAATCATCAAGGGTGTGGATGGTACTATTGTGGTGCAAGTTTTTCTTAAGGTATTTCCATGAATTAGGGAGATTTTCAATTATCTTCATGATTTGATGACGCTCAGATATGGTTCTCCATAACCAGCAAGTTGGTTAGCCATTACATTCATGTCATCAAAAAATTCCAGCACTGATTGGTTCTCTCTCATTTTATGTTGATTATATCTTTCATAAAGTTTATGTTTTGCCATATAATTGTCCTCATTGTGCCTTTTCTCAATAGCCTCCCATAAGTCTTTAGCATTAGTGTAGGGTTCAAAGACCTTATGCAATCTATCACTAAGGCAATTCAAAATGGCACCTTTACATGTAAAATTATCATTTTTTCATTTCAAGTTTATTTGTCTCTCTCTAAGTGTAGAGTCATCATCAGGTTCAGTTATGATTTCTTTTTCAATTACATACAACAAACCCATAGTATGCAGCAAATAAGGCACTTTACTTTTCCAAAGTGAGAAATTATAGCCATCAAGCTTATCAATCTTCACTAAATCAGGATCTTTAAGATTTTCAAAAGTAAATAGAGCTATCTCAACATGCAAGTTGGGTTTTGAACTCAATCATAAATATCCACAAACATATGGCATGCAATTCTTATCAAAATACCCACAAAAAAGTTGCTGTAAATTCTTTGGAACTCAAGAGGATGTACAAATATCACTAACTTTGTAATCCACTAAAGAATCTTAGCCAAAATCAATTACAACTATTGATAAGCTCTTCTAAGCAATCCCAATAGAATTTCCAGCAAGCATGCACTCATCAAAAATCCATCATAAACCATTCAAACAATATAAGATAATGCCCAATTTCTTTTCCCTTGCTCATACAATATTTCTCAACCTTCTTGTAGTATTTCTAGATGCAAAAAGATGAAGAAGAAAGTTGGAACAAACTCACCAAATTCATATGAATTTGCAGGTACATTTTGATAGCTTTTCTAGAGAGAGAATGTGGTTGAAAATGAGTTTTCTAACAATATATATAACACAAAATAGAACACAAGTGTCCTACAAAACAGTTGTTAGAAAATAATCTTGAGAGATAAAGCTTCTTCAAGATGCAACACGGTGCTGAAATTGATCCTATGACACTGGAGTGCTCTTACAAAGATGAGAGGCACGTCCCTTGCACCCAGCTCACAAAGAAGTACAAGAGAGAGAAAGAGGTTTTAGGGAGAGAAAGAGAACTTGTGCTTTGTACTCAATCCTCCCAAAATCTATTTCCATAAATATAGCTACAAAAGGGGGAAAAATAGAGAGACACATGTAGAGAGATAAATGACAAGTGTTGCCTTTCAATA